TCATGCAGAGGCCAAATCCTCATAATGAGAATCCTCATTTGCAGTTTCGTGTAGTTCTGTAATTATCATGAAGTGTAATAGAAAGGTGGGATAGTGTATCACTCACAGAAGCTGCTAAAAGTACTCAGAATTCTAGAGCTGCTAATATTAAAAACAAAAATGACCTTGTGTTTTGCTTGATTAAAATTAAGCCTTAAGTTTAGAACATGTTTAAACTTGGTTTAAAATATTCATTTTAGGGTGTTTGCCAGCTTCCCAGTAAAAATGATGAAAAAGAATATCCACACAGAAGAATTGATATCAGGTATTGTTCAGACTTTGTTGCTGACCTGTTAACTTTTCCAAACTTGTCTCGTTTTCTCCCTCCCTTTTTGTATCTTGGAGTTCACATTCATATCTAGAGCCTCTTTTTACTCCCGAGAGCCATATGTTCTTGCCAAATGCAATGTTTAGCTCCAAAGTATATGAAGAGTAATGACTGTCTACAGACTCTTGATTTATTTTCTCCAGATTTGCACCTCACCGTGATGCCTTCCACAGCTCAAAAGTCGTTTCCTGCCTGGGCTAAGTTAGTTGTATTAAGTGATAATGCGATTTCATTTCTCCACACCTCTTTCAGAACAAAGTTCACAGAAACGTAAACAAATTACAAGGTTGGGGTGATTTGAGCAGTCTACCTCATGATAGTCTTCTCTTCAATTTATTAGACCACTTAGGCTTATGTTAGGTATTTTGTTCCTTATTGATTTTAGGAGTCCTGTATTTGCTAAACTTGAAATGCATGGTAAAAAAAATGTATCTACTGTCCATTTTTTTTAGGTTGATACCCAAAGATCAGTATTACTGTGGTGTTCTCTATTTCACTGGGAGTGATATTTTCAATAAGAATATGAGGGCTCATGCCCTAGAAAAGGGTTTCACAATCAATGAGTACACCATCCGTCCCTTGGGAGTCACTGGTGAGTGTCCATGTGTGTATTAGAGATCATCTCTCATCTCGAGAGAAGGTAATTTTCAAAGATACTTTGGTTTAGCAAACCTTCTAATAACTATGCCAGTTAGTGTAGTTTCTTTGTATTTTTAGTCCTTCAGGCAACAAGAAAGGATGTAATGCATAACATGCTCCTAGGCCCTCAGTTGAAAGCCATCAAGGCAAGCGTTATTTCTAGCTTTGTTAAAATGGATTAAATCCTTGCATGCTCAGTAAAACATCTTACTCATCTAAAAGGGTTTTTGTTTTTTGCTGTTGTTTAATGTACCTCCAAGACCCCTGAAAAACTCAAGTATCATTGTTTTCATTGCCACACACTTTGCTTTTAGTGCCACAGTATCTTTGGCCCCATGCTTTTAAAGTTTAAAGAATAAGGATTGCTGAATCTATGCTTAATGGGTCCTGTTAACATTTCACAGTATACTATGTGGTTTACCGTTCTCTACTAGGAGAATGAATTTTTGTCATTTTGTCCTCAAAGTATAAAATAAGGCTTTCATCCCTGGTAGACTAGGGCAGTACTTCTCACAATTCAGTATGCATACCAGCAACATGGGGGCCTCACTAAATTCAGATTCTAACTCCTTGGGCTTGCAGTGGGGCTCAGGATTCTGCATTTCTAGTAGGCTTCTAGATCAGAGGTTTCCAATCTTATAGCTTCCCTGGGCCACACTGGAAGAAGAATAATTGTCTTGGGCCACACATAAAATACACCAATACTCATGATAGCTGATGAGCTTTAAAGAAAAAAATCACGAAAACATCTCATCGTGTTTTAAGAAAGTTTACAAATTTGTGTTGGGCCACATTCAAAGCTGTGCTGGGCCGCATGCGGCCCACAGGCCATAGGTTGGATAAGCTTGTTCTAGATGCCAGTGCTGCTAGTCCAAGAACCGAGTTGCAAAGGAACTCACTAGAGTATTTTATATAATACATACTGGCTCCAGCAGAGAGGACAATCAAGAGTGAGGATGACTTGAGTGACTCTAGCTGGGATCCCCAGGTTCCCTTTGTGGCACTGGTGACTCACAAGACGAAGCTCCAGCACAGGCTCCTGGGAGACAATAGAGGTGGTCAGTGTCTTTTTTTTTTTTTTGAAACGGAGTTTCGCTCTTGTTGCCCAGGCTGGAGTGCAATGGCACATTCTCGGCTCACTGCAACCTCTGCCTACTGGGTTCAAGCGATTCTCCTGCCTCAGCCTCCCGAGTAGCTGGGATTACAGGCATGCGCCACCACACCCGGCTAATTTTGTATTTTTAGTAGAGATGGGGTTTCTCCATGTTGGTCAGGCTGGTCTTAAACTCCTGACCTCAGGTGATCCGCCCGCCTCGACCTCCCAAAGTGCTGGGATTACAGGCGTGAGCTACCACGTCTGCCAGTGTCTTTCTTTTTTAGTGACTTGGTTACCATTTTCCTTTTTCTTCTGAAAGCAAATCCCACACAGCTTTTAATTTTGAACCCTCTATCACTAAACTATAAAACTGGTTCTTACAATAAGTTTTTTCTCTCTGTACTTGTAGGAGTTGCTGGAGAACCCCTGCCAGTGGATAGTGAGAAAGACATCTTTGATTACATCCAGTGGAAATACCGAGAACCCAAGGACCGGAGTGAATGAGGCCTGTATCCTCCCTGGCAGACACAGCACAATAGGAGTCTTAATTTATTTCTTAACCTTTGCTATGTAAGGGTCTTTAGTGTTTTTAAATGATTGTTTCTTCTTCATGCTTTCGCTTGCAATGTAGTCAATAAAACCTTGTGTACTGTTATTGGATAATGATGTTCTTATTTTCTTAGCAAATATGTTTAGTTTAAATTTTCATATTATGTTCATGATCATACTTTACTATGGGTTTGGTAGAGAGAAATATGAGATGATAGCAGATCTTTAATGGGAGTTTTTATTTTCTCATATTCTGCTCTAGGCTATAAACCACATTACCCCTACTTACTGATCACAAATTAGTTAATTAAGGTATACCCAGAGACTAGCCTCTGGAAGATTGTTCAATATTTTCTAGAAACTAGGGGGGCTGGGCACGGTAGTTCATGCCTATAATCCCAGTACTTCGGGAGGCTGGGGCAGGTGGATGGCCTGAGGTCAGCAGTTGGAGACTAGCCTGGCCAACATGGTGAAACCCTGTCTCTACCAAAAATACAAAAATTAGCTGGGGGTGATGGCAGGTGCCTGTAATCCCAGCTACTTAGGAGGCCGAGGTGGGAAAATTGCTTGAACCTGGGAGGCGGAGGTTGCAGTGAGCCAAGATCATACCACTATACTCTAGTCTGGCAACAGAGTGAGACTCCATCTCAAAAAAATAAACTAGAGACCTTCATAAATTTAATTTTTTGTTTTGCCCATATTTGATTGTGTCAGTCCATTCTTACATTGCTTTAAAAGAATACTGGAGACTGGGGAGTTTATGAAGGAAAAAGGTTTAATTGGCTCATGGTTCTGTAGACTGTATAGGAAGCATGGCACTGGTATCTGCTAAGCTTGTTGGGAGGCCTCAGGAAGGTTTTACTCCTGGTGGGAGATGAAGCGGCAGCAAGCACTTCACATGGCGAAAGCAGGAGCGAGAGAGAGAGAGAGGAGGTGCCACACTCTTAAACAACCCGATCTTGTGTCAACTAACAGAACTCACTTATCACCAAGGGGATGGTGCTGAGCCATTCATGAGGAGTCCGCCCTCATTGTCCAGTCACCAGGCCCCACCTCCAGTACTGGAGGTCACATTTCAGCCAGGAGATACGTAAGGGACAAATGTCCAAACCATGTCATTGAATCTTGCAATATATACTTATAACCTGAATAGAAAAACAGGTGTATGGTTTATCTCTTAAATGAAATCTGTAGCACTTGCTTGAAATCCACTAGAAAGAGCTCCCCTAAGCACAACCACTTCTACTATGCACAAAATACAGCCTTTTAAACTCCAAACAAAAATTTCACTTTTTTGCCCGAGTCTTCCTCTGGGCTTTTAAGTGCAAGTGGTCAAAATGTGTAAATAAAAACACTCCTTGAAAGCCCTGCCTTTCAAATATTAAAATTATATAAATATAAAATAGACAAAGTTATCAAATGGTAAGTAAAGCTACTGAAAACATGTGAAAATGCTTTATAACTTGCAAAGGACTATACAAATATAAGATATCTTTTGAAACTTCTTTATTAACCAAATTATTTTGTAGTGAAATGCCATTTCCCTTCTAAGAAATGAATGGAAATAAACAATAGAGTTTTTAAGGAAAAATATAGTATTTGCTGTGATAATTTTCCCTGGTAAGATGTAAGAATTAACTTACTTTTAACTTTAGATGCTATCATTTTTACCCCCTAGGATACTGTCAGGCACCAGCCCTTTACCAGAAATTGCTTAAAGATGTATTTGGAGAGAGAGATGTGACTCGGTTATAGTATATGTATTTCAAAACATCATGCTGTACACTGTAAATATATACAATTTCAATTCTTTGTTGTTGTTGTTGTTTTGAGACGGAGTCTCGCACTGTTGCCTGGGCTGGAGTGCAATGGTGTGATCTCGGCTCATTGCAACCTCCGCCTCCTGGGTTCAAGCAATTCTCCTGCCTCAACTTCCCAAGTAGCTGGGATTACAGGCGCCTGCCACCATGCCCAGCTAATTTTTTGTATTTTTTAGCAGAGACAAGGTTTTACTGTGTTGGCCAGTCTGGTCTCGAACTCCTGACTTCGTGATCCACCCGCCTCAGCCTCCCAAAGTGCTGGGATTACAGGCGTGAGCCACTGCGCTGGGCCTCAATTCTTGAAGATTTGAATTAATTGAGTCCCTAGATGAGAAATAAATTTTTTTTGTTACAGAGTCCCATCAGTTTTCTGGAAAACCGGACAAAAAGCTAAAGCTAGTTTCATTCATCACAAGGTCGCCAACTCTTAGTTCTCTAGTTTCAGGCTATTTCACTTGCTACAAGATTTGATTTTAAGAGAGATCTGTATGGAAGCATTTTAAAGTTAATGTCCAAGATTGAGCTCAAATGCAATGTAGATTCTTCTTTATTTTGAAATATTTATAGCTTTTCTATTTTTTGGCATACTCGTAACCGTGCATGCTGCCGATTGCTGGTCAGTTGGCTTCGACACAGTAGTCCAGGGCCACAGTCGCAACGCTGGAAGATTTCTGGAGCTTGAGCAGTGTCTTTATGCCCTCTCCTGGAGCAGACCTGTCCCTCCAAAAGGACTGGCTTACAAATTTTCGTCCAAAAATGACGAGCACAGCAAAGTCCAGGGCCACAGTCAAAAGTTCTCAGACAACTTTCTCCCTCTTGTCCTGTAACAAGGTTAATGTGGGCTTTAGTGATAAATAAGGAAAGTGGCCTGCCGGGGGTTTGCTACTGGGATAAGGGAATGGGACCTACGACTGACAGACACAAAGTAAAAATAGACACAGCACGCGGGTCTCACAGAGCTAGGTCTTACGCTAAAAGCGGTAATGCAATGGCGACTCCACCCCTACCCATCGGAATTGTTGTTACTGGCTGCAGACTACCTTAGGGTACTCTGTACGTGACCCCCACAGCTTCTTATAGAAAGAGATTACAAACAGCACGTGCTCCCTAAGTGTTTCTGGGATGGAGAAGAATAAAATCAATCTCACCCTATCCTTAAGAGGCTGGGAGGAGAAAATGCATTTCTGAAATAAAATGTGCTCAGAATGCTGTTCTTACCCTTCCTGCCTTGTGATTTCTTAATACTTGGCTTCCTCTTGGGTTGGTTTTCCTGGACTGGGTGCCCAGTTGTTACTTCTGCATGTGTGCCATCTTGCTCATCAAGCTGCCTTTCCAATTTTGGGGTTGCGTCTTCCATCGTAGTACAAACATCTGAGGGACAACCAGGTGTAACTAGAATTACTAACTTCAAGGGGGAGAACCACAGACACACTAATTATCCTACTGTTGCATAGTTTAGTAGCACCTCTGCCTTCAGTTTATATATAACTTTCTAGATTTCTGGGACATGCACTAAATATTTACATGCTCACATATGGCAGAGAAAGTAGTTAAGTGGAAGTTGGATTCCATTAAAGGTAGTTAATGGTATCCAAGTGGAAATGGAAGTATTTGAATGATTCCAACTTGAGTCTTTCCTTTAAAATCATTATCTCCAAGTCATTGGCAAGAGCTGTTGCCAGGAAATACATTATTTTGTTTCATGAAGAAAAGGCAGGCCAGGCCTGGTGGCTTATGCCTGTAATCCCAGCACTTTGGGAGGCCGAGGTAGGTGGATCGCCTGAGGTCAGGAGGTCGAGACTAGCCTGACCAACATGGTGAAACCCTGTCTCTACTAAAACTACAAAAATTAGCCGGGCGTGGTAGTGCACGCCTGTAATCCCAGTTACTCCAGAGACTGAGGCAAGAGAACCGCCTGAACCCGGGAGGCCAAGGCTGCAGTGAGCTGAGATCACGCCATTGCACTCCAGCCTGGAAACTCCATCTCCGAAAAAAAAAAAAAAAGGAAAAGAAAAGGCAGCTGCATACTTCAAGCATGAATCTAGGAAGTGCCATTAGAGAGTATCTACCCTGGAATGTGCTAGTCTATGGGGCTTAGACACTACCTTTGGTTTAAAAACCACTGTTGGTGTTATAGTCGCTCACCATTCATGCAGAGTGTCCCAGGGCAGCACATGGCATCTCGCTGGCACCTCCTCCGCAACCCACGACATGTAGCACAGAACGGCTTCTCATCGTGGGACTGGAGGCAGAACTTTCTGGTATTGCAGTCCGTGTCAGACAGGCACTGTGAGCCCTGTGGAGGGAATCTGTTGTCACAAGGCTAGGAAACCCAACACGATGGAAGGCAGGAGGTGGAGGGAGCCAAAGGACAGTGGCGCTGTGACAAACCCCAGGCAGCATCTTATTTTCCAGTGGAAATGGTTTTCTCCCACAAAGGGAAGCTCAGGTCACCTGGGGAGAGACCCAGGCCCTGCAAAGGCTATTTCAGTTTGAAAAATTGTCTTAACTCAGAATTTAGTTTTCCTGTGCTCTTTGTGAAAATGGAAAAAAATGTTTTCCTATGTGTGTCTTAACAGGTGATTATGAGATTTTCAATATATCTTAACTCTAGAAGCTGGCTGCAGTTTAATTAAATATACTATTGATGTTTGGGGCATTCTTGTTTGATTTTTCACTCTAGTGAATCACATTTAGCTTGCAGACCCACCCTAAGTGAACTGTACTTTGATTTTCAATGATGCCTCATTGACATAGAGAAAGAGATAGCGAAGATCAATTGTTCTCATCCACAGTTGATACTTTTAATGTTGGTATAGTATATATGATATATGTAATAATAGATAGGATATATAACAACATATACACATATATAAAGCGATCCCTAAAACAACTCTCTCTGTGAAGTTAGACGGTGACAAGGCAATGCATCATGGTCCTCTGTTTAAATTCTCATTCCCATGTTTGCCGGCTTTGTGAGCTTGGGTAAGCTCTTCAAAATCTCTGAGTCTTATTTCCTCATCTGGAATTAGGGGGTGTTTCATCTATCTCAAATTGTGAGGAAGGAGTACATGAGGTATCACATGTAAAAGAGCTGGCACATGGTAGAGCTTCCAAAGTGTTCGTTTATTCCCTGATTTATAGACAAACTTATGGCCAAATGATGTGAAAAGCCACTGTGTTTATTTCATACACTCATGCTAAGGCCACTGATCCTACCAGGGTGCCCTCCCAAATCCAAAACCAATTCAATTTACCTGCTAGATAAGACATTTCACACATGAATCAAAACGACTTACTAAAGCCCAAACAGAACACCCCGACTGTCAGCAGCCCCGTACCTCAACCCCTCCCTAGCAGCCTTACCTTCCGGGCCCCAAGCAGATCGGCAGAGCTCCTGATGTTGTTGAAGTCCAGGACCAGAGCTCCCAGGGGAGAGGAGAGCCAGCTCAGTCCCAGCAGGACGGCCGCCGCCATCCTTCAATCCCTGGGCTCCTGGAGGGTCTCAGCACTGTGCGTCACCGAAGCGAGGCTGCTCTCCACCCAGAGCAGAGCTTCCACTAAGCTGGCAACTCAGTATGTCGTCTGTTTGTCACTGCTTTTTCTGAAAGAGAAGCAAACCTTAGTCTGAGTAAGGTGCGTGAAATCGGCTGAGCAAAGTCTGACCAGCAGGTTCCTCCTGAAACTATTTATAACCAGATGTGCCCCCTCCCCGTTCTGTTCCTTCCTCCTGCCCCACACAAGCTTCAACAAATCCCTTCAAATCTGTTTGATCAATCGTTCAAAACAAGGACTCAATAGAAGGAGAGAAGAGGCAGGGCCACGCGGCTTCTCCTCCAGGGGTTGAATCCCTCTTAATTATTGCATATCAAAGATAGTTCAAAGGGCCACGGCAGAGCAGGATGTCTGTATCAAAGGCAAACTGATAATCACCTGCATTTCCTACCTTCAGTAATCCTTTGGGGGTAGGGAGGGAGTCTGTCCTAAGATCTGTTTTCACAGCTAATTGTGCTCAAAGAAAGGATGAATCATACTGGCCAATATGCTATAGAGGATGCCAAAAACTAATGAGGTACAAAATACACTGAGAAGCTGTAAACTGGGCTTCAGATAGTGAAGACAGATAGAAAAAGAGAAAACGCCCCCTGATTAGCTCTGGCATCCAGATGTAACAGCACCTGTTCTGACTAAATGCCATTTGGGAAATTACTTTCCTTTAAATGAAAATTGAACTGTTTGAAGTTAAGGTTCTTAGGAAAATAATGTAATTTATGAAAGTCCCATTTTTCAGTGGTGGGGACAATGATAGAAAGCCCATTTTACACAATTCAGTAGGAAGCTTTGGGTCCATTTTATCAGCAATATATTTAATTTGCATTGTATTATGTATCGCTTCTCGGCCTTTTGGCTAAGATCAGGTGCACTGCATTATGTAAAACTCACTTAAGCAAAATGAGGATCCAAGTCTCTGGCTGATTTCAGATGAAATTTCATGTATTTCCAATTTTCCTAATACGAATTTTTTAAAACTTCTGCTTCATCCCTTTCCTGTCTGATTTTTTTTTTTTTTTTTTTTTCCATTTGGACTATTAGAGAAGTCAGGTAATTTAGACATGTGCTTATCACTGTCGTAAATACTTTAAGAGTAGAACAATCTAGATCTGTGTCAAAAAATCATTTTTTTCTTCATTGTTTCATTGCTCTTAGCATAGAGTCATCTGAAAGTGCATTTTTTTATGCCATAAATGATAATCTTATTATTTACTACGTTTTCCTGTAGAACAACCTAACATCAGTTCATTAACATGAATCTCGGCATTCTGTGCATGAGAACATTCTCAATTTTGAGTAATGCAGCGCCGTTCTGAAGGTGATGCAGGTGATTCAAGCCTTCCCACTACTTGGCTCTCGTCCTTGGGTTGGTGTTGCTTGTCTACCTCTCATATGGAAGTTACTTATTTTAATCCCTTAAACTGACAACATCAAACACCCTTTGATAGCGTGATAACCCTGGTGACTAGGGGTGTTACAGAATTTATTTTGAAGTTGGACAATTATGACCAAGGATAAAGGAGAGAGCCCCAGGGTTCTGTCTCTGCTGGGTTTCTCTGCTTCCTGCTGCCTCGCTGTAAGGGAATTTCAGGTTACCAAAAGCCCCTGGCAATATACACAGGCGAAAAGAACCGATGGGAACTCCTGTAACACGGCACAAACAGCCACTGAGCACTTAGCAGGAGCAGAGCCTCAGATTAGATGTCGGGAATAAAATTTGAAACTCCAATGACCTGGCACAGTGGCTCACACCTGTAATCTCAGCACTTTGGGAGGCCAAGGTGGGAAGATCTCCTGAACTGGGGAGTTCAAGACCAGCCTGGGCAATGTATTGAGATTCTGTCTCCACAAAAAAAATAGGTCAGGCGCGGTGGCTGACGCCTGTAATCCCCAGCACTTTGGGAGGCCGAGGTGGGTGGATCACCTGAGGTCAGGAGTTCGAGACCAGCCTGGCCAATACAGTGAAACCCCGTCTCTACCAAAAATATAAAAACTAGCCGGGCGTGGTGGTGGGCGCCTGTAATCCCAGCTACTCGGGAGGCTGAGGCAGGAGAATTGTTTGAACCCAGGAGACGGAGGTTGCGGTGAGCCAACACAGTGCCACTGCACTCCAGCCTCGGCGACAGAGTGAGACTCCATCCCCCCACAAAAAAATTAGCCAGGCATAGTGGTGTTCACCTGTAGTTTCAGCGACTCAGGAAGCTGAGGTGGGAGGATCATTTAAGCCCAGGAGATTGAGGCTGCAGTGAGGTGCAGTGAGCTATAATTGCACCACTACACTCCACCCTCTCTCTCTCTCTATATATATATATTCTGCACTCCACCCTCTCTCTATATATATATTCTCTCTCTCTCTAAAGAGAGAGAGAGAGATCCAGAGAGAGAAAGATTCAGACAGAAAACTTGTATGTATGGATGACTGGGCCTGGGTGAGAGAGACAGCAAGTGTGAGGTCCAGACAGAAGACATGTATGTATGGATGATTTCAATATATTATAATTGATTTCAATATATTATGTCAAGCACTAAAATAAAGGTATAATGTAAGGGTGGAGGACTTATAAAGATATAAATACAGAGGAAGGCATGATTGAGACTTTCTAGAGAAATAAAGGAATGTGTTTACTGATGAGGTAATATTTGAGCTGAATTTTGTGGTTGCATAGGAGCTTCCTAGGTTGGGAAGTTGGAGATGTCCTCACCTGGGCTCAGAGGGTGAGGTGTGTGCGAGGGCGAGGAGGTGCACTCAGGTGCTAGTGAGAGATTCTGTGGCTGCGGCAGATGATGGAAGGACGAGATGAAGCAAGATGCAGACCCTGATATGCTGTGCTAAGAAAATCAGATTCTATTCTCTGCACGATGTAAAGTCATTGGAGATATTTCAGACTGAGAATGGCATGGTCCGCTGGGTGCAGTGGCTCATGCTTGTACCCAGCACTTCGTGAGGAGGATAAGGCAAGAGGACCACTTGAGGCCAGGGAGCAGGGAGCACTTGAGGCAGGGAGCCCGAACAACAAAGCAAGACCTTGTCTCCACAAAAAATAAAAACATCAGCTGGGCATGCCAGCATGTGCCTGGAGTCTCTGTTACTTGGGAGGCTGAGGTGGGAGGATCACTTGAAGCCAGGAGTTCAAGACCAGCCTGGGCAACATAACAAGACTCCATCTCTATGAAAAATACAAAAATTACCCTGGTGTGGTGGCACGTGTCTGTAGTCCTAGCTATTCAGGAGGCTGAGGTGAGAGGATTGCTTGAGCCTAGGAGTTCAAGGCTGCATGATCATATCACTGCACTCAACCCTGGGTGACAAAGCGAGACCCTGTCCTCCCACCAAAAAGAAGGAAGGAAGGAAGGAGAAGAGAAGAGAGAGGAGAAAGAAGGAAGAAAGGGAATAAAGAAAGAAAGAAAGAAAGAAAGAAAGAAAGAAAGAAAAGAAAGAAAGAAAGAAAAAAGGAAGGAAGGAGAGAGAGGAAAGAAGGAAGGAAGGAGAGAGAGGAAAGAAGGAAGGAAGGAGAGAGAGGAAAGAAGGAAGGAAGGAGAGAGAGGAAAGAAGGAAGGAAGGGTGAAAGGAAGGAAAGAAGGAAAAAAATGAAAGGAAGAAAAATGAAAGGAAAGAAGAGAGAGAAAGGAAGGAGAAAGAGAGAAAGAAGAAAGAAAGTGAGAGAAAGGAAGAAAGGAAGGAAAAAAGAAAGAAAGAAAGGGAGGAAGGAAGGAAAAAAAGGAAGAATAAAGAAAGGAAGGAAGGAGAGAGAAAGGAAGGAGAAAGAAAGAGAAAAAGAGAAACAAAGTGAGAGAAAGAAAGGAAGAAAGAAAGAGAGAAGGAAAGAAAGAGAAAGAGAGAAAGAAAGAAAGAGAAAGAGAGAAAGAAAGAAAGAAAAGAGAAAGAAAGACACTGGTGTTATCTAATTTGCTTTCAGGGCACAATGCTGGTGGCAGTGTGGTGCTTAGGTTGCACTGGGAGAGAGGGGAGGCTGGGGGCCACTTAGGACTCAGTTATCATTGCCCCGATGACAATGAAGGGTCCAATTTGAGGCAGTGCACAGTGACAATGGGAACCAAGCAAAGGATGGGAGTCTGAAGTTCAAGCTGCATCACTGGATGTGGGAGTGGGGAGTTGGGATGATCCTGCCCTCTCCGATTTGGTGCACTGGGTGGGTAGAGGTGGGCCTAGAGACAGAGAATTCAGGATGAAAATCAGGTTGAGGGAGCAGGATAACAGGGTGCCTTGAGAAAAGCTGTCCGCACAATCAACCGTTTGCAGGATATCTACTGTGGAGATATAAGAGTAGCCACTGTGTCTTTCAGGAACCATGCTCTCCGTTTTGCCTGTGAGAGACAGAGGAGAGGAGCGGGTGCAATGCCAGAGGGTCACCAACAGGGGCTGAACAACGCTGAAAAGCGACCCCCTGTCTGTCTATGTCTGTCCGTCTCTGTCTCTGTCTCAGCACTGAGAGAATGTGGGCTTTGGGGCCGGGTCTGACTCCATCACTAGCTGGGCCTCCCCTCCGCTGTCTGCCCTGCTCTGTGCCTACACCAGTTCGTCACAGCGCTTCTAAAACCCCACTGTAATCATCTACTTCTATGTCTCTGCAACTAGACCATAAACTCGAGTGGGGCGCGGTGGCTCATGCCTGTAATCCCAGCACTTTGGGAGGCTGAGGAGGGTGGATCACTTGAGGTCAGGAGTTCGAGTCCAGCCTGGCCAACATGGTTGAAACTGCAGCCCTACTAAAATACAAAAATTAGCTGGGCGTGGTGGCACACACCTGTAATCCCAGCTACTCGGGAGGCTGAGGCAGAAGAATTGCTTGAACCCAGGAGGAAGAGTCTGCAATGAGCCAAGACTGGACTACTGCACTCCGGCCTGGGCGATAGAGCAAGACTCCATCTTCAAACAAACAAACAAACAAACAAACAAACAAACAAAAAACACAACAAAAAACCCTCTAAACAAATGCCTCTCATCCATTTTCCAGGCCAGAACTTTCCATCTTCCATAGACTTTAGTGCCTAGCATCTACCATGGCCCTACCTTGGCAGGCTGTCAATGGATATGTGTTCGATACAACTCATCAAAGAAAAATCTCTGTGAATCTGAGGCCTCGTTTTGCAATAAGACTGGGATTTCGGTCTCTAAAAAGCCAGAGCAATTTTGGAGGAAAGTAGGTATGTGAAGTAGTTTCTGGAAAATGACTTT